TTCGACTTTGTCGGCCCACAACTTCCCCTGAGCAATTGGTTGGTGTAGGTTGCACCCCACGTACTTGTCCCGAGCCTGGCATAGCGCCCTTACAGACTGATGACCTCAATAGCTCAGTGGGTAGAGCTCTGATATACTGACTTGGAGGTCCTGAGTTCAACTCCAACTATGCTCATTCATCATATCAGCTAAGGGATGATCCTCTACCTGGTTTCGGGTGGGGACTGTGCCTTTCCTGCGGGAAAGTTGATGTGGGATGGATGCTACTCTCTTGGGCAGGTGAGTAGTAAGGGGTTGGTTGGGTGCATGGTGATACCGTGGCAGTCCTATGGTGGGGAGGGTTGCCTTGTAGGGAAACCAATGTCGAATCAAGAGGTGTGTCCTACTCTCAATGTCTGTAGATCCATTTCGGGGTGGTGGGTAATCAGAGGTAGGTTGGGGATAGTTGTTAGACGACGGTCGAGGTCTCCACCATTACCACTGGTTGATTCTCCCTAGCGAACAGACATAAGCAAGGCTCATCACAAGCAGAAAAAACAACCACACATATCCACATAGACTATGATATCACATTAGCTCACATAACAACCAGCATACTCAACAACTAACAGTAGACATATATGATCCGAGCTGTGCTAGGTTAGTGCTTAGAGGGGCTCATAGGTTAAGACCTTGGTTAGTTGACCATTAGACACTGCCTATGAGTGCCCTCACTACTCACGGGACTAGCTGAGAACTATGTGCCTAGCTCCCGAGGTTCCCGTATAACGAGGCTTGTACGCTAGTGCCTCAACTGGGGTTGAATGGGGGAGCTCATTCAGCGTCGGTGCCCGCGTCCGCTGTCTGGTCAGGTTGCTCTAGTAGCGAGTGATGTTCCTCGCATGAGGTAAGATAGAAATGGAGTGGGGGGTGCGCCAGGAGATATATATCGAGAGGAGTGGTGGGATGGGAGTCTCCGTGAGTGTAAAAAAAAAAAAAAAAAAAAAACAGGCAACGACTCAAATGCCGGAGAGCAAATCTGCAATCCAAGCGGACATGAGAGGGGGCCAGGACTAACAGAATCCACCCGGATGGCCAGCTGGAGAGGAGAGGAAACAGAATGGAAGCAGACACAGGAGGGAGTGCAAACGGGGAGACAAGGCAACAGAAGGAAAGAGCACATCCTTTTTCTTTGGGTAACTCGGGTGCAGTCATAAAAGCAGTTTCTAAATGCATTTCAAACTGCCGTTTCGCAGTCTAGTCCAGTCCGAAGTTTACAACGCAGTCGAAACTCCACTTTGCAGAAAAGTCGCACCGTGGAGTTTGTAACTGCAGTTCAGTCGGGCACGTTTTCAGGGGCTTTTTTTTTCCCCCCCTTCTAATACCGGGCATGGCCGAGGCATCTCTGTTGTGGCCCAGCCACGCTACGCGATGCGTCAGCCATGCCTGGAAAACAAAAGGCGAAAAGAAAACGGTCGTGTTTCTTTCTTTCTTTTTTAATCTCCGTCGTGGCCGAGGCATCTCGGCCATGGCCTAGCCACTCGATGAGAGTAAATCTATCTTGGGATGGAAGTTTGTTAGCTTCTCCATCATTGAGGACTATGTCGGATTTGATCTCCGCAATTCATATGTTTTTGCAATGGGAAAGCTACTTAGACAGATAATCGGAGTACCTATGGGCAAAGCGTCCAGTCCTGCTCTTGCAGCTATGCTGTGCATGTATGATGAAGCCAATTTCCTTAGCTCCCTAGGAAACGATAGATCCCTTGTCCACGGGGTTCGTCTAGTAGATGATGTCTCGGTATTTGTAAAATTTGTATCATCCAGCGAAACCTCACTGAACCATGCAAAAACAATCTTACGGGCTCTCAATTCATGTTATAATAAAAATCTTACGTTAGAAAGAACGGACACGGGATCTAACTGGGATTTTTGAGGATGTCAGCTGATGCGACTACCCACACCTCTTGGTATACGTTGCGCGCCCACACATCGAAACCAGTCCTCTCTTACTCTGTCAGGACAAATTACATTTCAGGCGATCCAAGACTTCTTCTCCTTTTCCAGCAAACAACAGAAAATGGCAGTTATTACTTCATTTCTGCACAGGGCTAAGTGGTTCTCAACGTTACCAGTGGCGGAAATCATGTTTCTAATAACGATGAAAATGGAGCTTCGGATACGGGACTATCCGGATCAATTTTTTGATAATTCACTAATGGTTTTCTCATCCAAGCATGGAGGCTGTTGGGATGAATGGGTTAGCTGCTTCAATGGTTGGAACAAGTTTTTCAGCTAATATCAATAGGAACCTGACAAACTGCTTATGGATGAATCTACAAGGCCAAGTTCTTCAGCTGAAGACCCCCGAAATCGGATAGCAGTTTATGGGTATTTTTCTGGAGGTTACCTCAATGGCTGAGGCGGCTACAAGGGGGTGCGACGGGGCTACAGGCCMTGTACTCTGGGCTACAGGCTCGGATGAACCAATTGGTCRGCCARTTAAATTTTTKAGGCCCRAACGGCTCAACTAGCARRGGGTGAATTTTCTCAGGACGCAGGCCCGAACGGTTCAACGATCTGACCAGCCAGGACCCTCAAAWTTTTTTTCATCAGCAAAGGGTGATTTTTGTAAGACTCCCTCATAGGTTCGTTCATTTCCGGCTAATGACGAACACTCTCTTCCTATATATCTTGCAGTCGCTCCAGTTCTACCCCTCTCAATTCAAGACGACCAACCAGGCTTACGTCCCGGCTACTTCCTCGCACGCGCTTCGCCTACCGTCCTCTTCCTTCCCTCGCCTGTTCTTGCACGGCGTTGCTACCATCACCTTATATCCTTACAAAGCACACTTCACCTACCGCTCCTCTCTTCCCGCCACCTTCTTCCCACCCTACACACCGCCGCTACCACTGCGCCATATCCTTGATCTCGGGACTGGTCGACACGAGGAAGACATTTCATCTGCTACACTCCTGATATACGCATCATGACCTTCGCTATTATCAGAAGATAAGTCCTCATTCCGAATTCTCCCCCTCTCCCACCTCCCTCTCTACCTCGCTCGCTTTTTTTTTCTCTCTCTCTTTCTTTCTCTCTCTCTCTCTCTCTCTCTCTCTCTCTCTCTCTCTCTCTCTCTCTCTCTCTCTCTTTTCTCTCTCTCTTTCTTTCTCTCTCTCTCTCCCACTTTTTCGCTCTCTCTCCGACTATTTATTCCCTCACTAGCACTACTGAGGTCATCTTGAAACTCGGCGATTGCCCCTGATGATGACTAGTAATCGGCGCTGGTCGAAACAGGTTGGGCGCTGCCGATATCTGCTTCTCTTTGGCCGTTCCGGCTATTTGTTAACGCTCTTTGCGTTATCTATGGCTCATCGGCCACATGAGAGGTGTTTTTGAGCTTTATGATTAATATTATTCGATCGCTCGGGCTTCAAGTGACTTCGGTGTCGTGCTCATCAACTTTTTTCCCCTATCTCCTCCCTCTTTGACCTTCTCTCTTTTCCTTTTCTTTTCTCCTCTATTTTCTCTCTTCTCTTTTCTCCTCTCCTCTCCTTCCCTCACTGTTCCTCTCGTCCCCGTGTATGCATTGTACTCGTTCAGATGGAATGGCTTAAGGTAATTATGTGGTTGTTGGATTGTCTCATTTTTTGGATGCGTGTCTTCCGAATCTTCGCTGAAATTTCATATGGCATTCTCAGATATGCCATTGCGAAATGTAAGAGAGAAGATTCCAGCAGAGGCAGACAACATCGTCGTGATTATTCCTACCCTTATTAATTAATTAATCTAATTACACATAATCCCCATCCTTGCCCTATTTTCGAGCAGTAGCAGCTGTTGTTGCTATGATCTAATCTCGTATCTGTGACTCATGCAATAACCATAGTAGAAATTATACTACTGTCGAGTGGTTGCACGGTGTCCTTGTCCCCATCCTCATCCTCATCCTCATCCTCATCCCCATCCCCCTCCCCGTCCTTTGTTTTTTCCCCTTGTTCATCGCGCATATTTGAAGTTTTTCTCGTCGATATATTGTCGAGTTCTACTCGCCCACCCTCCTCATCGAATGTGTATTTTCATTAGTAATGCATCTTTTCTGTTTTTACTCGCTCACTCGGTTGATCGAATGAGTGTTACATTTACCGACTATTTATGCCGCTAAACGTCCTCGATCTTCCATTTCCCTGCTCATTGGTCTCCATTCCTCTTTTTCTTTCATATCGATTGTCAGACTGCCTACGTTCTCAATCTGGTCTCTGTTGATTACTATCTGCACGCGTGCTCTCGTCTCGCACTTATTGATATTTTGCGAACTTACTGCCTATCATTTTCGTTTATCTCTGCTCGTTGCTACGATCATTCGCATTGTCGCATTATCTATCGTGGACCAACTATCACACTTCTCTATCTGGTAAACTCTCCTCACAGTCATGGCTTCCCGAGGAACCTGCTACAACTGCAACATGCCGGGACATTTTGCACGCGATTGCCCCTATCGCCAGCCCTCTTTTTCCCAACCTGGAGGTTACCCTCGATCACACTTCCCTCCGTTACCACCTCCCTCTTCCAACAATGCGTCACCCCTCTCTGCGCCTTCACAGGCTCCGCTCCTTGCTCTTCCCCCACCGCCACCTCTATCCCCGTCTTCTACCTCCCACAACGGCGGCACAAGCGCCATCGTCCCGAGGCAATCGTGGTGGAAGTCCAATCAGGATAAATTGGACAGAGTCTATGAGTTCATGGCTTTAGAACTTGAAGCTCGTTAGGAAGCCATCCGTGAAAAAGAAAGGTTGTTGAAAGAAGAAAAAAAAAAAAAAAAAAGTCAAAGAGGCAGAGGAGAAGGCTCTTCGGAAGAAGAAAGAAAGACAGGAGTTCGAAGAGCGTATTAGTAATATTGTGGTTTAAAAATCAATGATGCATGCGATTTTTTCTTGGGGAAGTCTGACCAGGCAAGGGTGGCAGTGGCTGGACCTGATCTTCATCGCGCAGGAACTACGGCTAATCCCAACGCTCAAGTGTACGCTGAGAGGGAGCGTCTGGAAAGACAGATCGACTCGCTGCGCCAAGAATACGAGGTCATCAAGAAACAAATGGAGGAGTTAGGGCGATCTGTCAAACAAGGAGTGTTAGGTTCAAAAAGAGCGGCAGCAGGAGTATGTATCAGCAGTCCGCCGGAGGCGCCTGCCAGGGGCAAGTCAATAGTAATTGGGGTTGGCACTCCTACATCCTACGACTTCGAGAAGCTTCTGAAGGCTTACAACTCTATGAAGGAGGAGAAGCGGATCTCAGACATGGAGGTGCAAGCTCTGAAGGAGCGATTTGAGAAGGCCGTGGCCAAGTTGGTTAAACAAGGGCGGACTCCCCGCTCGAATTTAACCAAACGAATCTACGAGGCGACGGACGATGAAGACCTCGACAATCATGGCAGACGGGAGGAGAGGCGGGACGATCTAACAATCAGACCGTCACCACCAAAAAGGACTTTCGGACGTCTCGCCAAGAAGGCTGCAGCTACAAAAAGGGCGGAATTCTTGAAAGAAACCAAGAAGTACCTGAAGCGACTCAAGAAGCACGACTTGCAGTTGCTTTGTGGAAAGGAGGGCATCACATTCATCACATGTGAGCAGGTCATCAATGAGATCGCCGAACTGCGCACAGCCCTGGCCTTCGACGATCGACAGCAGAAGAGAGCTCGCTCGATTCCTGATTCCGAACCAGACGATAACAGGGATGATGATCACGACGGTGTAGGAGGCCACGCCACTCAGCCAGTTGAAGTTGATGAGGACGAGCAGATCGTTGATGAATAGGGAGACGGCCCGAGCATTCGAACGGCCTGGAAGCTCGTCAACCGATGTCTTCTTCTACGGCAATCACGACAAGGATTGGTGGATCTTGATCTGGACTATCTATATCGCATACTTATCATCTTTCTTATCCTCTCCCAACAAATTGCTTGGGTGATTAAGTTCTCAGACCACCTTTCCCAACTTCTACGTAGTGATTACGATTTCCAAGATTCCCCAGGACCTGTCGTCTACTGCCTAATCTCCCTTTTGGTGAATCACTTTTACATCGGGTGCACAGCAAGGTCCGTACGTGTTAGATGGAATGAACACCTGTAACGCGCGTCTTTGTCGGAATCACCCACGGCTATACCACGAAATCACAAGCTCTACCGATGGATTCGTAGGACAGGATGTTATCACTACGTGGCTCTCCCTTTACTGACTGGTCTGCAGGTGACTGAGATAATGGCAGTTGAGAATAGATTAATAGCTTGGGCTTCTCCGTACCTCAACTCGCGTCCCAATGGTAAGAAAAAAAGAAAGAATAGGAAGAGTAGACCGAGGAAAAGGGAAAGACGCAGGAAAGAAGAACGAAAAAAGTTAAGCCAACCTAATTCATCGAATGTTGTCACAGATCACTCTCCCCTAGATCGATGTAAGAGGAAAAGAATGGTTACCTTCACTACCTCTTTCGGTATCTCGTCATTGTCGCTTTTACATATTTTTAATGCATGCAAAGAGTATGATGTCAAGTCATTCTCTGTCATTGTTGGCAGTGGCAGTATTTTGGCGGATTCTTGGAAAGTCGTAAAAAGGATCTTTGGTGCTTCGATAGTAGCAAGTAAAAATGGACGAGATCAACTCAAGCACTGCAGAGGATGGTTTGAAAAACCTGGTATTGTAAAGGTTATCAATGTGGTTCGTTTCTGTTCTAGATCAGAATGCTTGAAGGGTCCGATATCCCGGTTGCTTAGTCATCCTAATGAGAGGAATAATCTATATACTTGGTCGTTGGATAACCTCATTTATGGATATGATGCGGTGAGATGTTTCTCTAAGAAGTCCTCTAGACAAGTTCTACGGACCATTCTCTCTTATGTAATCCATCGGAAATTCGGCATCTATCCTCGCAAGTGTTTGGTGTTTAGGATCAAATATTCGGATGAGATATAAGAAACGGCAGTCCATGCATTGTGTGTAAAGATTATCAGAAATCTAACCTACCGGCTTCCCTGTCAGGAATGCTTTCAAGAAGAATTCGAGTAGTATGGGTCAAAAATCCTAGCCTAGCCCAATCTTTGCATAATTTTCGATCTTTTTCGCGACAACAGCAGGTCCAGTGTGGATGTTCAAACTTTGTTGTTATCCTCTCTGGAAACCTCAATTCTTCGTCTGTTTCTGTTTCTTCCTCATCGTCATCTTCTTCCTTTCCTCCTTCTTCTTCTTCGTCTTCTTCTTCTTCTTCTTCTTCGTGGTCGTCTTCTTCTTTTCTCCCCCTTTCTTCCAATTCTTCTTCTTCTTCTTCTTCTTCTTCTTCTTCTTCTTCTTCTTCTTCTTCTTCTTTTTTTTCTTCTTCTTCTTCATCTGCAATTTTGCCTTTCTCCCTGTCTACTTCTCATTCGTCTACTCCCTCCTCCACATCATCTTTTCTTTTTTCTGACAATAGCCATGTTGTCATTCGTGCTAAAGATCTATATTTGTTCCCTTCTTGGTTCCGCAACTCCAGAAACATTCCCCCACCCTCAAGACTGTACAGACCCAGTTATCTTCGTGCGCAGATTCTTAGGACCCTGAATCAAATCCCTACTCTCTCTGGCCAAACCCATCAGTTCCACCTACCCCCTTCCCTACTCCTTCCCTGTTTTAGAGATAGCCCCGACTCTCACACCCCCACCCCTTCCCTCTCGATTCCGACACCGACCTCATCTGATCTCAGCTCCCTGCCCTTCTCACCTGAAAGTGTTGATCTGCTTAGGAAAGTAACCAAAGGGCTTGTTCTATCCCTGATTGACCACAATCCTGGCAACACATACCTTTGTTGTCCGCTTGTCTATGAATCTGGTATGAAATCGTTGTTCCTTCACTGCAGAATCCCCGGTTTGTAAACACCCAGAGTAGTGAAAAAGAAATCCTGATCGAATGTGAAAAAGAATTTCGAAAAAATGGATTTCATTCCTTGGCAAATTGGAATCGCAAGGGCTCCTTTGGTAAAGGGTATGTGATCCCAAAGCACAAGGATGTTTGCAGATGGAGACCCATCTGTCCCACGTCCTCCGAACCTTCTATTACTGTCTGCAAACGGATAACGGAATGCCTCAATCTGATGATCAAAAACTTACCTGCCACTCTACATTTCAACTTATTTAGTACAAAGGAACTTGTGTCGGCCCTCGGAAAGATCAATGACTCAGTTCAGAAAAACGAAAGCCTCATCTCGGAGAGTTATGACGTTAAAGAAATGTTCACCAAGTTGCCCCACGCTGCAATCCGAAGGGCAGTTCGTTGATTTTTCCATTACTTCCAACTGCAAGGCCATGAAGGGGCTTGGATAAAAAAACGGGGAAAAGGTGCTAAGCTGTCTAATAGTAAATCTATCTTGGGATGGAAGTTTGTTAGCTTCTCCATCATTGCGGACTATGTCGGATTTTATCTCCGCAATTCATATATTTTTGCAATGGGAAAGCTACATAGACAGATAATCGGAGTACCTATGGGCAAAGCGTCCAGTCCCGCTCTTGCAGCTATGTTGTGCATGTATGATGAAGCCAATTTCCTTAGCTCCCTAGAAAACGATAGATCCCTTGTCCACGGGGTTCGTCTAGTAGATGATATCTCGGTATTTGTAAAATTTGTATCATCCAGCGAAACCTCACTGAACCATGCAAAAACAATCTTACGGGCTTTCAATTCATGTTATAATAAAAATATTACGTTAGAAAGAACGAACACGGGATCTAACTGGGATTTTTGAGGATGTCAGCTAATGCGACTACCCCCACCTCTTGGTGTACGTTGCGCGCCCACACATCGAAACCAGTCCTCTCTTACTCTGTCAGGACAAATTATATTTCAGGCGATCCAAGACTTCTTCTCCTTTTCCAGCAAACAACAGAAAATGGCAGTTATTACTTCATTTCAGCACAGGGCTAAGTGGTTCTTAACGTTACCAGTGGCGGAAATCATGTTTCTAATAACGATGAAAATGGAGTTTCGGATATAGGACTATCCGGATCGATTTTTTGATAATTCACTAATGGTTTTCTCAGCCAAGCATGAAGGTTGTTGGGATGAATGGGTTAGCTGCTTCACTGGTTGGAACAAGTTTTTCAGCTAATATCAATGGGAACCTGATAACTGCTTATGGATGAATCTACAAGGCCAAGTTCTTCAGCTGAAGACCCCCGAAATCGGATAGCAGTTTATGGGTATTTTTCTGGAGGTTACCTCAACGGCTGAGGCGGCTACAAGGGGGTGCGACGGGGCTACAGGCCMTGTACTCTGGGCTACAGGCTCGGATGAACCAATTGGTCRGCCARTTAAATTTTTKAGGCCCRAACGGCTCAACTAGCARRGGGTGAATTTTCTCAGGACGCAGGCCCGAACGGTTCAACGATCTGACCAGCCAGGACCCTCAAAATTTTTTTCATCAGCAAAGGGTGATTTTTGTARGACTCCCTCAYAGGTTCGTTCATTTCCGGCTRATGACGAACACTCTCTTCCTATATATCTYGCAGTCGCTCCAGTTCTACCCCTCTCAATTCAAGACGACCAACCAGGCTTACGTCCCGGCTACTTCCTCGCACGCGCTTCGCCTACCGTCCTCTTCCTTCCCTCGCCCGTCCTTGCACGCTGTTGCTACCATCACCTTGTATCCTTACAAAGCACACTTCACCTACCGCTCCTCTCTTCCTGCCACCTTCTTCCCACCCTACACACCGCCGCTACCACTGCG